AAATCCCTCAGTTGGTGGCCGGGGGGACGGGGGGGTGGGGTTGGGGCAAAACAGGCAGGGTGATGGAAGCAGCACTGCAGTGCAAACCCTGTCCCTTTTGTTTGTGTGTACAATGGCAATGCAGATACAAAAGAGATGGGGCTTGCTTCATGATCCTGCCCTGGCCATTTTGCCTGTTTTGACACCCCCTGAGAATGTTCCATCTTGCTGCTCCATAACCTTCCAGCCCCTCAGGATACCTTCTATCTCCCCATAGACAGAGGCATCAGCTACAAGCCACAAAGATGTCACACCCACCATGACATTCCAAAGCAAAGAATGCAAATCACATAATTGGGGAATTTGGCTCACGACATCATCCTCCCATGATGTTGCTCGCTCCCCCGCAGATACTCACAACCCCAGTTGGCTTTTTTTCTTTCTTCTAGGTAGGTAAGCACACTTTTAAGCAAGCCGCTGGCCCTAGCTACTCAACCTTTTCTTTTTCTAAGAATACAGAAGAGATGAAATCAGTGTTTCCCCTTGCAAAATAGCCACTTCCTTTTTTTTTTTTTTAATTGAAAGGTTGCATTAAAAAGCAAAGTCAGTGGGACAGGGAACCAGATGAAGATCAGATGAAGTGCCATTGGGAGAGAGCATTGTTGGAGATAGCAACCCTAGAATGGAAATATAGAGATACATACACTCCAAAGGATGTCAAGCAATCATTCTTCATGGTAGCTATATGTAGAATTGTTTCAGTAATCCGTACTTTGATTTCCATCTTTGCATTGGCAGATTACAGATTATAATCTGTAATTATGATTTTGGGAGGCAGGAGTGGGAAAGATCTGGCTGGTCGTTGTTCTAAAATTGTCTCTCTTTCCTCTGTAATGAGCAGACATAAGGTTGGGTTTGTTAGATACATTGCAACGTCAAAAATTAATTATATCCATGACAGCAGTAGTGTTATTAGACAAGAGTCTTTTACTGCAGTTGCCCTCAGGTCATATCTCTTTTAGTGGATTCAATATAGTGTAGCCATGCCCATTTGCAATGGCTACATTCCAAGAAATTGTTTTTAAGAAGAAGCAAATGCAGCCTTGTTCTTTCCTCTTCTACGCTTAATTTAAGATGTCCATTTTCTATTTTTTTTAATAATAATGTTTATTCAAGTTTAAAAATGCAGAGACAAAAAACGAATACAAACTAAGAAAAATATAAAAAGAAAAGAAGAAAGAATAAAAAGGGAAAAGGGAAAAGGAAAAAAGGGGGGAGGAAAAAGAAAAGAATACACAAAGAAAAAAGAAAGAAAGAAGAAAGAATAAAAAGGGAAAAGGGAAAAGGAAAAAAGGGGGGAGGAAAAAGAAAAGAATACACAAAGAAAAAAGAAAGAAAGAAGAAAGAATAAAAAGGGAAAAGGGAAAAGGAAAAAAGGGGGGAGGAAAAAGAAAAGAATACACAAAGAAAAAAGAAAGAATATATAAAGAAATGTCTCCCCCTCTCATCAAGACAAGTACTAACATTTCAGTAATGATCACCTACCCTAACATTTCAACCAAAGACCTCTTCTTCCCATATCTCATCAATCAAACAAACAAACTCTCTTTTGTTGAATATTGTTTCCATACCCCTCCACTTTCTGTCCCATTTTTCCTGCCTTCATGGCACTGGGCACAAAACAGCCCCTCAAAACTCTCCATTGGATTTGCAGGCACTGTTTGAACCATTTTTCCAGTGTCTTCAGGGGAGGCAGAAATTCTTCAGCGATTTCTCCAGGAAGCAATGACAGTACTACTGCTACTGGAAAATAAAAACCATGGAAAAAATTTTTTCTCCTGATGATTTCCCTTGGAATTAATGGAAGCGTGGAAAGACAGAGGAACTGCAGACCACTGGAGGGAGTATTGCATCATGAAAGGCGAGACAGTCAACACATGTTTCTTTCATCTTCTTATGAATGAATGAATGAATGAATGAATATGTAAAAATCTGAGAGATGGGAGATGAACTAACTTTCTCTGAACATGGAGTTATTACTTTTATTTTTGTGTTGTGTTGTTAGATGCCCAGAGTTGCTGTGCTGAGACAGGTGGCCATACAAATTAAGTCAATAAAGAAATAAACATATAAATGCATTTTTATTAGGTGTATTCAACCTGGGGATACTTTAATTGGGATTCCTGTTTTTAGCCAACTTTATTTGAATTTGAAAAAAGCTAAGCAGGGTTGGGTGTGGTTGTACTCAGATGGGAAGCCATCAGGAAATTCCAAGTTTAAACACCAAATTAGGAAGTTTGTTTGTTGATTCGTTTTTCAAAACACCAGAGAAGGCAACGGCCAAACACTCCCAGGAGATTTCATGGATGCATTCATGAAGTCACCTAAAGTGGAACATGACTAGAAGCAACCTTGGCCGTTGCTGGTGAATAGGTTGGACTGCATGGTTCAAATGGCCCTTTCCATCTCAGGGGTTCTATCAAGAAGTACAAGTACGCCTCATACCACCCATAAGAATTGCCCTCAAACTCTCATTTTGCTTTGCAAGCTGTTGCCTTGGCAGATTCATTTCCATCACAATGAATGAGGATAAGTAGGGGACAAAAAACAGAATAATGTCTCTGTCTTCTCCTGTATGGAGTCTGTTGCTTCAGAAAAGGGGAAAGATTCAGGTAACATTTTCTAACCTGCTTCCATAAAAGCAAAAGGGCATCCCAGGATCTAAGGAGGACGGAAGGGGAGGGTACCCTCCAGCCACTGCATAAGCCAAAATTGAAGTGTGTGAAGCAGGGCCCTGGTGTCTCCCATGTCACTTTGGTATGGTTTCCTAGGTCTCTTTCACCCACAAGGAAGCACTTGCCATCAGAAGCAGTATAGAGCATTTGAAGGATTGGGAGCCTGGGAAGTTTGGGGGATTTTGGCGGGGGGAGTTTGCTCTTGCTTTGGCTGTAGTCTATCTAGTCAGATGCTTTTTGTCCTTCATTTGTTTTGCTTTCTACTGGAAAACAGTGAGAAATTTTGGTACCAATGTTCAGCTGTTTGCTAGACTTTTGTACTGTGATCTGGAGGACTCAGAGGAGGCAAAAAGAAACTTTGAAGGCTGGGCCTAAGAGTTGCCCACCCCTAATATAATAATTATAAAATATAAACTAATAATTAGTGCTCCATTATTGAGATCAATTAGTAAAAAGAAACCTTACAGATCTCAAGGAAGGATTGGGAAAGTGAACCTGAAGAACAGGTGCTCCCATGGAGTAGTAGAAACATAGAGATCCACAGAGGAGGCAAATAGGAGAAAATTGTAAAATAAAATGTGCGTCGTGTTGCAAATTCTACCCTGGATGTCTTTGGGCACAATATTGCAACCCAAGTATGAAAGTGTGGAACCTAAGCTGTGACATTACAATGCTGCTGTCATTATGGTTAGAAAGAGACACCCATGAGTAGAACATCTACTTTATGTAGAAAAGGTCCCTGGTTGACCATGTAGCTTCTCTAAGAGGGTCTAGGAAAGTCACCAGTGAACCAGAGTTGACCGTACTCTTCTTCACTGTGGTATTTTATTTATCCCATTGATCTTGAATGTGTGTTTGTGTGTGTTGATTATATGCCATCAACTTGGTGTTAACTCTTGGCAACCAGATAGACAGAGATAGAGAGATATCAACAGAGATTAGATTGTCTTTTCTGTTGTTTCAGAAGCCACCCGCATTTAAGACATATGATTCCAGATCTGACTTCTCTCTATATAGACGTCCAATAGCTCTATTGCTATCTCTTCTGATGAAAAGAGTTTGCTTCTGCTCTTGGTAAATACCCCTACGTTTTCTGTTCTTCACAGGAGAAAGCTATGTATGTTCATCCGACAACTTCTTTAAGAAAGTGGAGTACACCAAGAACGTCAACCCAAATTGGTCCGTCAATGTGAAAACCTCTGCCAACATGAAAGCTCCCCAATCCCTGGCTAGTAGCAACAGTGCCCAGGCAAAGGAGAACAAGGATTTTGTGCGTCCCAAGTTGGTGACCATCATCCGGAGCGGAGTGAAGCCAAGGAAGGCTGTCCGTGTGCTCCTGAATAAGAAAACAGCCCATTCGTTTGAGCAGGTGCTCACCGACATCACAGAAGCCATAAAGCTGGAAACAGGAGTCGTTAAAAAGCTGTATACCCTGGATGGGAAACAGGTAAGGCCTTTAAACTCCCAATTCAGATCCGTACAACAGTGGGACAAACAAGGATGTGGCAGCATTCTGGGAAACTGGTTTCAGTTATGGCCAAGCCATATCTTCATTTGGAAGAAAAATGATTCAAAATGGAGGTCCATAGACTGAAATTTAGAATCTCTCCTAAACTTAATCTTAATCCAAAGTCTAGAATCCGGAACTGGGACTTCTTAGACCCATGTGCTTCTTAAAGGAGGTTCTCCTTTGGTGTCTCTTAACAAAACCTGATTTCTTATCATGACTGATAGAGCGCTTGTACTGGTCTGCTGACTTGGGTCATCTGAGATTCGTATAATTCAGATTAGTTTTTCTTGAGTGGTAATTGAGATTGCACTAAAACTAATGCTATTTGTTGTGGTTATGTGAACCTAGACATCATGGTTAGCAAATCATGGCTTATGGTTTAACATGATCTGTGGACCTAACTTCTGTGGCTTATTCTAAAACCATAAAATCACCTGAACTTCCTCCTGTGTTAGAAAGGTAGTAGAAAATAAGTAAGTGAGTGAATCCATTTGCACATTTATCCATTATATGTATTTAAATGTAAAGAAGGAGGGAGGGAAATACAACTCCATATTTAATCATTTCAATATTTTTAGATACTCCAAAATGGCATAATCTACTTTAAGAAAAAGACAGCACCGAAACAATACTATGTATAAATA